CTTATAACAAAAAGCAAAACCTAGTATCAGTTATAAAAACTCTAATATCAGAGTTTAAACAAACTCTACAATGCACAAAAATTTAGTTTTTTAGTATTACATGTTATAATCATAGTATCTCTGAAGGCAAGGATTTCAAATTTAAACCAAAAGTCCAAAATCCTCACCAGAGAATTTTTAAAGGGAACAAGTGTTGTGTGCAAACAAGTAATCTCTTGGGCAGAGTCAGACAGTGTCTTCTCTGAGGGTCAGCTGCTAATTACCCCCACTCTGCAGTGAAAGGTAAAACAGCTATGAGCACCTCAATCCTGTAAAAACATTATCATCTAATGAGTGAAGAAAATGTCATTTGCAGTAATAAAAGAGGAAATGCATTGTTAAATGTGATACTAGCTACATTCACAATGCAGAGAAAAATAAATTTAAATTATTGGTGAATTTCATATAAGAAAGTTAAAATCACATAGTTCTAAAAAAAATATCTTTTTCCTTCAGTCAAAGTCTGCCAACTGTTTTAGAAAGCACCTGCATTTTGAAGGAAGATTTTTAAATAATGATCATGCTTTAGCATGTTATTTAAGCTAACAGGCATGATGAAAAACTAATTTAAATTTTGTTCTTTCTATTTAGCCTTGTTGTGTGTAGTAGGTGTATATATCTCATTCCACAAGGAATTCAGAAGGATTCTTAAGTAAATGGCATATTTGTTGAAGTTGAAATTTTAGGGCTGGGGATATAGCTCAGTGCTACAGCACCTGCCTGGCAAGTGCAAGGTCATGAGTTCAATTCCCAGGACTAGAGGAAAGGAAGAAAGAAAGAAAGAAAGAAAGAAAGAAAGAAAGAAAGAAAGAAAGAAAGAAAGAAAGAGAAAAAGAAAAAGAAAGAAAGAAAGAAAAGAAAGAAAAAGAAAGAAAGAAAAAAGAAAGAGAGAAACAGAGAAAGCAAGCAAGCAAGCATATGGCTTAGCAGTCAACCCAGCATTTGCAGTTTCTCAAATTCACTATGCTATTTCTTTCTCTGGAGTTTTCTCTCAGCATGTTCCTTTTGCCCATTTTCTAAGACTAAATCCCCAGTCAGTGTTCCTAGTCAAGTCTTCCATGAGGCTGAACACAGTTTTTTCTTCCTTCGAATGCTGAATCTTTCCTATGGGCCTCCTCAAGCAATACCTTTGATATAGTGAATGTGATGAGATCTCTCACACTTTATTAGATTGTAAATGCTTGTGCACAGGAATTATGCTTTGGGGGTGCATAAGAGCCTCGCTGAAAAATGGCCTTATTGACATAAGAATGATATCAGACCTCCAAATGGTATAAGGGGAATATTATAACTCCCAACCTGTTAGGGATTAGATATGCTGAGTCCATGTTCCCCCAAACTGAAGAATGAACACTAATGAACAGCAGAAGTTAAGAGCAGGAAATATTTATTGAGGGGTAGATAAGCTCCTGCAAGACAGGAAGGGTCCTGAGTGTGTTGCTAATAAGCTGACTTCACTGAGGAAGTTCATACAGCAAAATTACAAGGTAGGTGCAATGAGCCAATGCAATGATCGATCAATAAGATCACAAGTATAGCCCCTTAGATACTATTGCTCCAACAGGGAAATAGGTCGCGTAGCAAGTGCTCATGGAAAGAACAAAGAACTGTCTGAGAAGGGATGGGTCCAAGGATCTTGGACATCCACTGAGATGATTGATGTCTCTCGAGACGTTATTGGACCAGGTGTTACACCTACCTTATCACTTGGGAGGCATGTAGGCCTGGTCATTCTGTCTTTATCTCAAGTCTTAGCCTCCAACAGATGTGCCTCCAGCCACTTTTACTGTGTTTTCATTTTTTGTATTGACTCTCTTGAGGGTGTAGCTCTGTCTGACTGACTATAATATTTCTACCTAACTCAATTGTTTATGATATTATTACTTACAAAACAATTCTCATTATTTCACACTATGTATAAGAATCAGGCCAGATTTCATAGCAGAGATTCTGAGTGAGAACGCTCCTTTAGTCTTCATCAGACAAATATGCATTACATTTCCAACTCTCACCCTAGCATTGGTAAACAGCCCTTCTGTTTCACCTCTTTGGATCCTTCTATTTCCCCGAACTTGACCTCAGTTTGTACATCTGGGAAAACTGGAAGGCTGGTCTTTTTTACACTTGGTTGTCCCTACAGTGCCCAGTATGTTGTCACGCATTCAGTCAGTGTGTGTCACATATTGATGAGGTCAGGACAGTTAAAGGACTGCTGCTGTTCCACTGAGAAAAAGTTATGGGTATTTATGGGGTTCTGAAAACTGAAAGGTGATTGAAGACTTTCAGGTGGCAACACTGAGAAAACACCCTTTAGTCTTCAACATTTTGATTTTCAAAATACATTGTAATCGCAATAGCAAACAAGAATGTCCTCAGGAAACAAAAGGCACATTTGACAGTGCTTGTTTTGGTAAGGCAGACTATGACCAAAATATTTTCCTGGGGATTAGTGGACAGATTATCAGGAATGTCCACAATCTGCCCACATGCTCTCTTAAACTTCCTTTTCTTTAGTCCACTGTGGCTTGTTTTGTGACTGAACTTTGTTCTGGACTTTGCTTGTTGGTTTCCCCTCATCCATGTACACTATACTGAAAAAAGTCAAAAATAAAATGAAAATTAATGTCAAAAGCACTAAAAAGGTTTATCACAGATGCCTTCTTCTCCCATTCCCATATCCACTGTTTCCAGGCACCCCATTTGTAGCCGCTCTCTCAGTGCTGTAACCGGAATGTGTATGGTACAAAGGCCTGGGGCTAAGGTGACTCAGCCTCCAGCACTTCAACACCAAGGGCCTTTGCTAGTGAGGACAAAATTGCCTCCCAGAGATGAACAATGCCAGGAAGAAGCTCCACAGGAAGGGTTGTTCTTCTTAGGCAAATATTTCTCATCCAAATCTGGATTTTTCAAACATTTCAGGCTCGCAGTTCTTCCTCTGTCTGGGAGGCATTTACTCTTCATTCCACTGAGGAGCTGAGCCTAGCAATGTACAGTGAAGGGTCAATAGTTCTTGGAACCCAAAGGTATTCATAAGGCTGTCTATCACCCGCACTTAGAATGAAAACTTAGACACAAGCTGATTGTGAAATTATAGTACAACTCCACAATGGAAAGTTACAGGGATATTCAAAGTCATGTTTTCAGAGAACATGTAATAACACGGAGAAATGCTTGTCATACAACTTTAAATGAAAAGAAGGAAGCAAAGCCACATTGCTAGTGTGTTTCTAGTGCTATAAACATCAGAATATGTATGATACCATCAAACAGAAATGGAGTATTACATAGGGTCCTTATTGAAATTCTCAAATAATTAGGTAAGAAGTTAAATCTATAAGGTTGAAAGAGAAAAAAGAGGAAAAAGAAAGTCTAATATTGAGTTGCTTCAGTATTTCAGTCATAATATACCTAGGAAGAAAATATGCCAAAATTTTAGCAATAGTAATTTTTGTGTAAGATTCTAGGTGACTTATATTTCTTCCCTTAATTTTCTGTTTTCAGAGTCTTACAAGAAATATAAGCAAACTTTTAGAATAACAAAAAGAAAATAATCATTAGTTTTGAAAATGATACCTCTGATTTTTCCCCATCCCCTCTCCCCCTTTCAATCAAAACATATCACATTCTGGTACAAATTCCCTATGATGAATATGATCATTACATATATCTAAAATGTACCAGTAAATTTAATTAAAGAAAACAGAAGAGGCAAAAAAAAACAATTAAAAAAAGAAAATGATATAATCGAATATCATCATGAAAAAGAAATTATGGAGAAAGGAAATAGCAAAGATGACTATAGCCCATGCAGAGAACTGCATGGCTTCATAGCCTGGGGGTCCTTTCTTTGGGCTCTGTTTCCTTGTTCATTAAGTGGAGATTCTATGTCTCACCAAACTAAGATTATATAGGTTGCAAGATATATTCACCATCATTTTATCTACTGTAGAACTAAGTTTTAACACTTAAGTGTTACCAATATTTCATTATAAAACATACTCTTATTTTAGGGATGTGAAAAATGTGTCATAGCCTCAAAACTTGGCACTTCATAAAATTTCATGAGGATCAAATAATCTATGTAAAATCCTTAAAAGAGAATATGACAATGAATATTTAACAAGTGTGAGCCATTACTATAGATTTAAGATGGCTAGGAAGAGTTCTGAGAATGAAAGTCAGTCTTTGAATTTCAGAAGTCGGCAGAAGGCGTGTGTGGGTGAAAGTCCCTGAGCACTAGGGAGGAGTGGAGTAGCCATAAAGGAGCTGAAAGGCACCCTCTTTATGGGCCACCTAGAGGGACACAAGCAGAAAAAACAGCAGTTTGAGAGAGAATGTTACATGGGGCTCTTATTGTTAAAAATCTCGAGTGATCAGGTAGGGAATTCAATGTATAGAATTAATGGAGAAAAAGAGGAGGAAAGTTTGAGGTAGAGTGGCTTAAGCACTGCAGTCATCACATGATCTCACTTGCCGCTAATATCCAATGAGTAACCAACCACAGGACAAAGACAGAGTAGTTGCCAGGGTGGAGCGGAGATAGAGCTACAAAGAAAAGAGCAGATTGAACAGTCTTTTTTTAGGTACCTTCTTAGGCATACTAATAAACAACAAATATATAACTTTAAGAATGAGTGTAACTCACATGCCTGTAATAATATGTATAAATTCCAAAAAATGCAAAACAAGGAGACACGCTAAAAGTATTCCTATTACACTGTTGCACTGAGCTATAATAAGGCTCCAGGCAATTAATGCTTCTGCAAGCACTTTGTGCAGAAGACCTATTGTGACTGAATGCATTCATCATGATCTTGGCATAGGAAGAGTAAAGGGTTAAAGAGAAAGAATTAAAAGCATTAAAAAGTAATATGTTTCATCATATTGGTCAATTAAGGGTTTAATGCTTTTATTTACTGAGTCTAAAGTCCCCACCAAATGCTTACCATTTGTATTCTTACCTTAGATGAATTCAAAAGCCCTGGGAAAGGCTCCAGCTAGGAAATGAGGCAAAGAAAGCTGATGAAGTGGGAGAACCCTGACACAGCAAGTCACCCCAAACCCCAACTGCTGAACCTTCTCAGGTTTTGTATAGAAACAAGACCTGGTCTGGCAATCGTCCCAAAAAACAAAAAGCTCTATGGTGCCAGGAACCACATCAGGTCAAACAAAGGCAAAAAGCAACTGTTGGCACGAAGACATTCCTTCCACTATGTAATGTGCTCTCGGGAGGAAAATCAGTTTTCAAGTGTACAGCAATAGCCACAGTGGGGTGTGAAATAGACTTTGAGCTTACGGCAAATTCTGAGGCTCAGGAGAGCACAGCACATCATTTCGGAGTGCATTACATTCAGGAAGAGGTGGGCTCCTCAGATTTACCCTCCAGATTCCCAAAGATCTTAATTTCTTTCTCTCAGGAAAGATCCACCAAAGTGCATCAGATAAAGTAGACTCAAAAGGACTGACTGAATCTCAGCATTTGGTGTGGAGTTCATCTGTAAAGGGTTGTTTTGTTTTGTTTTGTTTTTTAATGAGCATTTGTGCTTGCCAAATTTAAAATTTGTTTATTTTAGTTTTCAGGATAGAATCATTCAGGTTTTTATGAAACAACAGACTTTTTTGAATCCTAGACTGTAAGGGACTTCAACCATGTCCCAGTCTCACACTGTCCCTTGGCATCAACCCCCTGGACTAGGAAAGGCAAGTTGAGGCCATAGAGAAGGGAGGCATCACCAGAGCTACTTCTTAATGTAGCCTCTCCCTTGACTGCATGTTGTAGAACAACAGCTGCTTGACCTACAAGTGTAGTTGGATCCCACTTTCAACTGGCAATAAAGCCTGGTAGCCCAGTCCCTGTCCCCAGTGGGTTATCAGTGAGCGTGCCTCGGCATCAGCAGTTGTGACCTCTGTACCAAAGGGCACAACTCTTTTCTAGAGGCCAGGCAGGTTGTGAAAATAAGCTCAGGGAAGCTGGGGTGAAAACCCAATGGAGCAAGTGCAATTATGAATGTTAACTGGCCTCAATGAGGAGACAAAGGCGTAAGGAGGAGACGAGGCTGTGGTAACACAGAGCAGAAAGGCCCTGTTTTGAAAGGGCAGCCACTCAGCAGTTTCTGTTGATTTTTATCTGAGCATAAGGGGCTTTGGGACAGCTCCTCTGAATTTTCAAGCGGAGTTGGCTTCCTGGGCATGGGACCCATACCACGGCCTAGGGCCTGGACTTTGAAGGTCCCACACTTGCTTTGATTTTCTACCATCCCTCCTTAAATTCCTGATAATTTTTAAACAAGAGTGGCTGGATTTTTTTTATTTTGCACTGGATTCTAAAAATGATACTATCATATTTTTAAGAGCAATTGTATTGCACAATCATAGTTTTTATAAAATATTCCCCTGGTTAAAGTTTGTTAACTAGTTTAAAATTTTAAAAGGAGTGAATGTTACACATCTACAAGCTGGCTGCCCGAGGAGCGGCGGATGGATTTCAACATCGTAGGTCATCTCCATGATTGCTCCAGATCCTAGAACTTGGAACGACGGGATCTTAGATGATGTAAACTGGTCATTGACCTTATTCTTCAGATGAGGAAACACTCAAAAGAAACGAAAATAGAAACCGAGGCTGTCATTTACCACTCCTAACATACGGGCCCTATTGTGAGCAGCCTCTCCTAGACGTGCTGGCCACGGCCACAAATGGAAGGAATCCGAGTTTCATGGCATCTGGGATTCCATGCACTTTCTGCTTCCTTAATTTATTTTCCTGAGTTTTAGCCAAGAAAATGTCTTTTATCTTTTGCTGAAATGTTTCCCCGTGCTCTCACCCAAGGGTTTTAAGCCACTGTTGATTTTATTATCATTTACACAGTCATTACCCAAGTACTATCTTTTGGCACAGCCAAGAGTTAGTGTGTGTCGAGGGCTGAGTCCACCGCAGGAAATATGTGACCAGATCCCACCAAAAGGCCGTGAGCTTCTCCATGGCAATTTCTTTCTCTCCCCATCTCTCCTTGCGGCCTTGTTTGAACACACTCTATGTGATTTCAGAGAGGAAATGTACCTCCGCAGATACACAGCCCAAACTCTATTTTAATGTCGTTTTTGTTTTCTCAGTGTGTCACAGTTCTTACTCAGAGGCTGGTTTTTACTAGTATATTAGAAAGATTTCTTCCTGGCTTAGCAGACATTATACAGACAGCCCGTTTTTATGGATTTTAATCTGTCTTGGACCTAATCCTACCAAAAATTGTGATATAAACATCATCTCTTTTTAAGAGGTCCCAGCATACAGTTTTTGGCCCATATGGTCCTATTTCTGTATCTCTCTCTTTGCTCTGCTCCATGGCATGCTATGAGCTAAGAGAACTAGTGAGCCACTCGTACATGCAAATGTGCGATCCAGTGGCTCATGTCCAGGGCTAGACTGGATTTCCCTCTAGCAGATACAAAGGTTGAGGAGGAAGGGCTCTGTGGCAGATGAGCGAGATGTTTTGGGGACACAGCAGGATGTGGGTGGTGTGGCAGCTCTTTGTGTATTCACGGTGGCAGTCTGCCGGGTACCCTGGCCAACAGTTCCCTGTGTTTGCTCTTTTGTTGTTCCGTACCATTTGGTGCCAGCAATATTCTGGCAGCTGGCGTGTCAGCAGGTGCCCCTAAAATACCAAGTCACCCTGGGAAGACAGGAGGAGGAAATTATGTTTTCAGTCACCTGGGGTATTGTGCCACCATTTCACAGGACATTGGCTTTTGTTATTTGTTTATTATTTTTAAAACCAAAGGGTGCCACCCTTCTCTTTGTGGTTCTTTGAAGACAGCAAGATTCCATTGCCATTCTCTGTTCTTAAGAAGGATCATGTGTGAAAGAAAAAATAGCGCTGAGAAAATAAGAGGGAGCTGGATTGACTTGAAAAGGCCACATTTGGAATAAAACAATTTAATACCATTGTCCAAGCAAAGCAAGAAAGATCAAGCTTTCATTTTGGGAAATGGCTTCTACCTCCTAACAAAACTAGGTGAAATATGCAGGACTACTTGAAGTGTCCAAGTTTTTTCTTAGCAGTGCTTGGTGTTCACATGCAGACCATAATAAAGTCGCACTCTGGATCCAGCCACAATAAGCAGACCTGAGTCACTGTTAACATGACCAACAGGCTCTTCTTATTTATCCTCAGACCTCAGCCTTGTGAAAATACTGTACTCTAAAATAAGAATGCCCTGATGGGCAGATTGAAAGCAATTTCACCTACCTGGTTTCTATTCCAACTCCACACCTACTTCAAGACACTAAGTCTATGGAATCACATCATTTTTCAGCCAAAACCTAATCTATAAAAGAGTAATATTTTTCCCTCTAGGTTTCATTAAATGATCATTTCCGAGAAAAGAAATGCTTCACATCAAATGAATTTACCCATTAGAAACTGTACCCATGTAGTAAGAAATGTACTTACTGTGTCATGTGGACAGCCTTGTTAACTTAAAATCTTAGTGGCCACTCTGCCAAGGAGTTTAGTTATGAGCACCATAGAGGGTGATAGTTAGAGAGAGATACAGGGTGAAGAAGGTGGCTTCTTTATTAATTTGCTTTAAGAAAGAAAAGTCTCAAGCATAATAACTGTTAAGGCTGGAGGGGGGCCAGTCTGAGGACATGGGGGAAGAGATGAGACGAAGGGAAGAGAGGAGGGTGAACCGGGACGCAGAGCAAGAAAGGGCAATTGGAAAGGTGATCCACAGGCAAACAGAGTGCCCCTCTTTGCCTGGGACAGCCAAGAAAAGAGGGATGGGGGACAGCAGGCCATGATTCTGTGGACCCTGGGAGCGCCTGTCTGAGCTGTTTCCCTGAGTGACTGTGTTTTCTCTGGGTCATGTGTGAAGAGTGAAGAGTGATGAGCACTCATTAGTTTGGAAGACTTGTAAATAGTACTGAGGGCTCAAGCCACAGCCACTGAGGGGAAGGAGAGGCTCAGGATTGCTGGGCCACTTCAGGGTTTATTTGGGATTGGAGACCGAAACTGAGAAGTATCATTAAAATGCAAGATTGGAAGGATGTGTGCAAAGATCTCACCAGCATCGTTGCTGCCCCTTGGGGGGTTGTTGCTAAAGATCAAGAGAAGTGGGTGGGTGAGTGGCAGTAGGATGACTGAGGAAAATGGTAAATGACACTAATCATGTTGAAGGGACACAAAGGACAAGGAAACCCTCATGACAGACTTACCTGAGCTCAGAGAGGTGGCATTTAAGATCAGTCGTACAATCCTCTTAGTCAACAAGTAAGAAAATTGAGGCTGAGTTTATGGTTAGCTACTGACTTTTCTATTATATCATCCAGCAAATTATTATAACGTGTGTGCTAGTTTCTCCTGTGAACTGTGTAATAAGTTAAGACACCACTGCTGAGTGGGGTCTTGGGCCATAGACAGAAATAATTGTATACAATGAAAGGAAACAGAGTATAAATTTTATTTTAATATACAAAGACTATGCTGAGTCAAGAGGGACCTATGTGTTATATATACAACCTACACAAAACGTTTCCATGTGCCTCACTGTACCCAGGAAGTAAACTATCATTCTTTTTTCTTAATTTTAAAGAAAATAATACAAAAAAAGAACAATAGCAAAATACAAACAACACAAAGCAAGGACATTAAAAATGATACAGGGTTTCAAACCAAATGATAGAGATTAACAGTGGCTGTTGTAGTACATATTGTTATCTTCAACGAAGTTGCTCAAATTACCAGATGTAAGAATAGAAGATTGATCAAATCATTAACGGGAGTAAGGAAATAATAATTTAAAAGAACATTAGAGACAATATATAGTGTTACTAGGCAGGATGGTAGGGATTCACCAATGAATGTTATACTGCAAATTGTTGTCATCAAAGAAGTTACTCAGATTACCAGATACAAGCATGCAAAATTGGTCAAAATATTTTTTAAAAAAACTTTTAATCATTAACTGTTCCCCTTAACAAACCATCAGATACCAACAGTACAGTTATGCCACTGATCCATATATATATATATATATATATATATATATATATATATATATATAATGCCTTAGTACTTTCTTTTTTTTCTTTCCCTCATCCCAGTTGTTCCTTCCTTTGAACAATTTCTTTCCCTTTCTTATTATCTATTGTACATT